GTGTGCATGGAGAGGACTTGACTAAAGTAATCAACTCCTAAGGGAGTATTATACTCTACAAAGGCACACCAAAAAAAAAAAGCTCAATCGGTTTATTATATATATATATATATATATATATATATATATATATATATATATATATAAACGCGGAAGAAATGCAGGTATTAGATTGTGATTTAGAAATAGATCCATTATAAAAGCTTACCTACGCGGTACAGCGAGAATACTCCAAAAAGCTTTGGATACAACTTGTCGGTGAAAAGAAGAAATGAGAAGTTACCTTAAAATAAATTTCTTACCAGCAACCAACATCATATGCTCTGCATAATAGTCAAAGCATATAATAATTAACAATGTGTATCTATTTATATATTTCCTGTCCCATCTGTACTAGTAAGGGAGGTAAATCAGATTAAGTTAATTTATGAGTGATTTCTTCGCTTAGTCATTTTAATAATCTATACAAATAAAGTATTTATCCTCACTTAGAAAAAAATAGTTCTTGAGCAAAATGAACCATGGCTTTCATGTGAGGCACCTTTGTTAGGTGATAGTCTTGCTTCAATTTGGTTTTGAAATAAGCTTTGTCATCACCGTTTTTGTTGTTCTGTTGCTAATCTTTTTCTCCCGTGAGATATTTTCATTTCATTGTTATGTTAAACACATAAAACTTTTAATATGAAAAGATATTGAGCAAAAAGTGATTTATATAATACCAGGAGTAATCAATGAATCATAGATACCATTGACACATCTAAAAATATAAAGGGAAAGGATTAATTCTATTTTAGTTGTTAATTCTTTATTTCTGCTCTGTTGAATCTCAATACATTGTTTCAAGACTTTTGTTTAATTGCATCACACTATTAAAACATTTTAATGATTGCCGTCATTTTTAACGGCCCAAACAAAAATGGAAATTGGGGCGTTGGTGTCTATATTTCCTAAATTAAAGTCCTACATTGTGAAAATAGGAACAAAGAGAATTATTCCATCGCTTCACAAGTGCATCTTGCTTGGCACTGCAAATATTCTGAGAATCATGCGATTTGATGGAAAACACCCATAATACAAGATCTCCGACTGAAAAGGCAAAGCCGCGTGAAATATAATAATAATAATATTAATAATAGTAATAATAATAATAAAAGCCAACAGATGTGATATCATAAAAGATAAGAAATTCAGGAAGTGTATGCTTATTGACATAGCAGTACCATCTGAGTGAAACATCCCCAGGAAAATTATCGAGAAATTGTCCAAATACAAGAACCTGGGGATCGAGATTAACAAGATGTGGGGAATGAAGACTGAGACTGTACCAATAGTAATTGGAGCACTGGGCATCGCGTGAAAAGGAAGGGACTATTTTGCTAACAGTGTTCCGGGTAAAATCTACATACAATGTACCCAGAAGATCGCCCTATTAGAACTATCCCTAAGAAAAGTGCTATCAATTAAATGATAATTGTCCTATTGGGCCAAAGGGCTATAGTTTGAAACCGGCTCTACAGGATACAAAGCAGGAAACATAACATACGCAAATAATAATAATAATAATAAAGTAAACGAAAATATGTCCCCATATCGCAGTTCTGATAGACCTTAGAGTCATTCTGAAAGAAAGTGAAAGTTAAATAAGTCTATCGTCATTATTGTTACTTTTTTTCTAAATCAATTCACCCCAAGGCGATGATACTAGTAAGATTTAAAGAGCTACTGGAAGTGAAAGAAGGAACCAGAAACTCAATTCTAAATAGGAAACAAACAATAAACCTCTTCTTAAGTTCAAAAAACAGGAGAGGAGTGAGAACCGGACGACAGGCGAACCGATCTGCTAGATTTCTATCGCTTCATTACTGGTTAACAATTTGGTGTTTGAGGGGGGGTATCATTTGATGATAAACTTTCCAATAGTAAGGAAACGATTCCAACTAAAAATAATACCAAGTCAAAAAAATTTGGTCGGAATGAATAAAAAATATAAAATGACGATAAGCTTCCTAAATTACAAACGGTTTCCAAATGAATCATCAAACGAAAAAGCTCTGAACATAACAGAAATTAGATCTGTCTGTCTATCTCTCTTTCTCTGTGTCTGTCTGTCTGCCTCTATGTCTATCTCTCTGTTTCTGTTTCTGTCTGTCTGTCTGTCTATCTCTTTGTCTCTGTTTCTGTCTGTCTATCTCTTTGTCTCTGTTTGTGTTTGTCTGTCTCTCTGTTTCTCTGCCTCTGTGTCTGTCTGTCTATATCTCTGACTCTGTTTGTGTTGTCTGTCTGTCTATCTATCTCTCTGTCTCTGCTTGTGTCTGTCTGTCTATCTCTCTGTGTCTGTGTCTGGCTGCCTGTCTGTCTATCTCTCTTTCTCTGTTTGTGTCTGTCTGTCTATCTCTTTGTCTGTTTGTGTTTGTCTGTCTTCTCTGTCTCTCTGTCTCTGTTTGTGTCTGTCTGTCTGTCTCTCTCTCTCTCTCTCTCTCTCTCTGACTCTGTTTGTGTCTGTCTGTCTGTCTATATCTCTTTCTCTGTTTGTGTCTGTCGGTCTGTCTATCTCTTTGTCTCTGTGTCTGTCTATCTGTCTGTCTGTCTCTTTGTCTCTCTCTGTCTATCTCTCTCACATATCCACACACACATATACTCTTTTTCTTTTAAATTTCGTTTCCGGATTTTGTGAAAACGTTAACCTTTTTTTATCTGCGCAAACTGAACCATAATTATATGAACATATACAACTTGATAAAAGTTTTCATTTTGCATCACTGTGTAGAATTTCCCCCACTAGTCTGCCAAAGAACTTCTACTAACAAGAGTAAGCTAGCGTTGTTAAAGCAGTATATAAGAAAAATCGCAAAAGTATCACCTGCTTCTTTTCTCTTCATCCACGGGGTACCTTAGAGATAGGAATTATCTCATTTCCTTCCGAGGACACTTTTCAATACACAGCGAAACTCATGTCGTATTGAACTCAACAGATAATTCTGGGCAGCATTTACACAGTGCTAAGCTTAAGTGGTTCACATAGGCATATCTAATTCTACCAAACCAATATATAAAGAACTCTTATTAAATGTAAGTCTCTCACAGTTTTTCGTGGGAACCTCTACAGAATGTAGTAAAGGAAAGCTAGATGAAAGGACTAAACATCAACTGCAAGATTGTATGGCCATCGGCAAAAGGAAAATCCCAACATGCAAATTGCAAATTAGAGATACAAAAATGAAACAAGTACAACAATGTAAATGTCTAGAAAGTATTTTAACAGAGGAGGGAAAGTGCCACACTGAAATCCGAAAGTCGCATTGGGATAACCAAACATGCTTTTCGAAAGCTAAGCAAAGTATTAAGAAACAGAAAAACTGCCTTAAAAACAAAGAAAAGAGTAGTGAACTGTTACGTAATATCAGCCCCCTCCTATATGGCAGTGAATGCTGGACAATCGCATCACAAATGAAGAAGAGACATGAGGTAACAAAAATGTGGTTCTACCGAAGGATGCTGAGAATACCATAAAGTGAACATGCGAGCAATGAGGACATTTTAAAGAAAATGGAAACAAAAAGGACACTTATACTTAACACCAGGAAGAGTGTTGATATTTATAGGGTACGTAATGAGGAAAGAAGGCTTGGAAAATCTGATACTCACAGAACTGTTTGAAGTCAAGAGGAAAACAACGCATAACCTACATAACGGGCTTGAGAAAATGAATGGCGGAACAAGGTTTAGGAGAGATAACAAAAAGACAAAATTTATAAGACAAGAAAATGTGGAGAGCCATGATCACCTACGTCCTGAAGAATCTTGGCACATGTGTCCATTAATATTCTACCGCTATCGTATCACTAAACATACCATCAAAACACATATACCTCAACAAATGGACATAAAATGAATTTCTTAGCAATCATGGGTTTAGTGTCATCGTCTCATGATATTTTGGTCTGAAAATAACCCAGTGTCTAATTCCAGGCTATCTGCAAACCGGACCAATAGTTACCTATTGATTCAAGTATAAATCCGACCAATGTTTACCTATTGATTCAAGTATAAACCCGACCAATATTTAACTATTGACTCAAGTATAAACCCAACCAATGTTTACCTATTGATTCAAGTATAAACCCGACAAATGTTTACCTATTGACTCAAGTATAAATTCGACCGATGTTTACCTATAGACTAGGTGTAAAGCTGGCCAATGCTTACCAACAGAAACAAGCAGAAACTTGACCAATGTTTACCTATATACTCCAGTAAAAACCTAATCAATGGTTACCTATAGACTCAAGTATAAGCCAAGCCAATGGCTACCTATAGATACAAGCATAAATCTAGCCAATACTTACCTATAGACTCAAGTATTAACTTGAACTATAAACCCAAATATAAACTCAATGAATGCTTATCTAAAAACTCTAGTATAAACCTGGCCCATGTTTATCTATATATTTAAGCATAAGCCTCACCAATATTTACCTATAAACCCAAATATAATCTCGATGAATGCTTACCTTAAGTTTAAACACGGCCAATATTTATGTATAGACACAAGTATAAAGCTGACCAATTTTTATTTATAGACTCAATTATAAAAAAATATATGGTTGATATGCCGTAAAATTCAACAAACAAAACTCAACCCACTCCAACACTGAACCTGTTCTCATCTCTCTGTCTGATCATATCTATTTTTTGACTGTTCATATCTATCACTCTGTTACAGTCTGTACATATATATATATATATATATATATATATATATATATATATATATATATATATCAGTATGAATATTTCCAAATGGATATAGATAATATAGATATATATATATATATATATATATATATATATATACTAACTTGTTCATGCTCTCTCCCTTTCTCTGTGTGTCTCTGTCTCTGTCTCTCTCTCTCTCCACACGCACGCACGCACGCACTGTTTTAGCCTATATTTTTATTTCACATTATTTGATCGTATTTCCTCCTTTGGATTATTTTTAGCGTTCATTCTTAACGCTTTCTTTTCTTTTGAGCAGTCCTTAATATCATCAATCTTCTTTTTCCCTCCCATTCATACATTTATATTGCTCCCATCTCTCTCTTTCTCTCTCTCTCTCTCTCTCTCTCTCTCTCTCTCTCTCTCTCACCCCTACTCTTACTCCTTTACATCACCAACCTTTTCCCTTCGTTTTTCTCTCTCTCCCTCTTATTCCCTTCTTTTCCTACTTCTTTTATTCTTCTTCATGTTCATATCATCATCATCATCGTCGTCATCATCTCCACCATCACTACCATCACCACCATCATCATCATCATCATCATCATCACAAACATATTCCTTTTGCCTTTCGAGGTAAAACATAAATCTTTTCTTCCATACCTTTGTATCGTTCATATTTTTTCTTTTCTTTTTCTTTTTTTTTTTTCTTGCCGGCAATACGTGCGAGCGTTCCCATGACAACCAGCTCGTATACGTCTTCTCGCCTCTGCCGAGGAAAAGAGGGTCTCTTATCGCAAAAGACAGTGCCTACCAAACCCTCTTCCCCCGTATTCACCTTTTACGCATGTACGCGCATGCGTGCTCGCGTGCATGTGTGTATAGGCTTTTTCTTAAGCAATTCTTTGTCTTTTAGTGCTAAGCCCTCGTCATGAACCGAAATGAATTGGCAAATACAGGCATATTGTTTCCTTGGTTCTATTTATTTATTTATTTATTTATTTATTCTTTTGTCTTGTGGCTACTGCGTTCTGAGTTTTTGGGGACGGAGTGATGGGTCAGTCGTATTCGGTCCCTTGGGGACAGCTGGACTTAACGAATGTCTCAAGGTGTGGTGAGACACTGACATGGACAAGCTAGAAATACTGTCCATACGATCACTATCGGAGAGGGCTTGTCGATGATTTACTAAAAAATGATCGCGACTTTTCTATTTTTTTTTTTTTTTTTTTCATTACCTATAATTTTCGGATATTGTGGAAGTGTTTTGGCTTTTTCTCTTTCTTTATAATTTCTTCTTTCATTCATTCCTTCTGTTATATTTTGTTAAAACTTTCATTTATTTCTTTCACACATTAATCTCTTCTTTTCCTTCTTTTTCAGTTACTTTTTCTTTAATTCTTTCTTTTACATCTAAATGCCTTTTTTCTTTCTTCTAAACTACATCTTTCACATCTTAATCTTTTCTTTTTCTTTCTTTCTTTCTTTCTTTCTTTCTTTTGTTCGTCCATTTCTGCTCGCTTTCCTTTCTTCTTTCTTTCTCTTTTCTACCTTTTTCTTTCTGTTTTTCTCACACATATTCTTCCTTCCTTATTTTCTGCCATGAATTCTTTCTTTCTTTACTCCATTAATCCCAACTTTCTTTCTTTTTTCTATCTTTCATTCGGACGTCAGTCTTCCTTTGCTTCTTTTGTACTTGCGTTTCTTTCTTTCTCCCTTTCTTTCTTGCTTTCTTTCTTTCTCGCCTCAATCATCCTTTCCTTCTTTGTACCTACGTTTGTTTGTTTCTTTCTTTCTTTCTTTCTTTCTTTCTTTCTTTCTTTTCACGTCAATCTTCCTTTTCTTTCTTTTGTACCTACGTTTCTTTCTTTCTTTCTCACGTCAAACTTCCTTTCCTTCTTTTGTACCTACCTTTCTTTCTTTCTTTCTTTCTTTCTCTCTTACGTCAATCTTTCTTTCCTTCTTTTGTACTTAGGTTTCTTTCTTTCTTTCTTTCTCGCGTCAATCTTCCTTCCCTTCTTTTGTGCTTACGCTTCTTTCTTTCTTTCCTTCTTTTTTTCCAATGTAAGTTTTGTTTATCTTTCTGGGTTTTTTTTCCGTTTTTTTTGTTTTGTTTTTTCCATTCCTTACTTTCTTCCTTCTGTTATTATTCCCTTGTAATCTTTTTTATGTTCGTAAAAGCAATTATTCCAGAGAATATTTCGAAGAGCCATAGCAAAATCGCCTGGCCCCATCTCTGCAGCGAATCATCGTCTTGTCGTTATCAGTCAACCAACATTTACACCTACAACTTTTAACGGTAGCAAATATTCAAACAATTCAGGCAACTGAAATTGCACAACTTACCTGAGGTCACCATAATCACTCTCTCAAAAAACACCTCATGAGTAGAGCATTTGATTTTAAGATGGGAAAATTATTCTCCACTTCCATATATAACATGTTCTGAAGATCGCGTGAGGCGTGAAACTGATAGTTACCTTGAAGTTATGATTTCTCTGTTCATACTGTCTATAAACAGAAAAGCTCTCTATCCTATATTCTTATCTCATTAATTTAGAAAATGATTATACATATATAGATAGATAATATTAGTCGTCCATATATATATATATATATATATATATATATATATATATTCCCAAGAGGATAGAATCCAGGTAGAACTCAATGTCCAGGACAGAGTAAGAATATAATACAAAGGGCTCAAACACTAATATTCCATGGTTATAATTTATTACATTGGAATCGTAATCACGATCCAATTCATCAGACTTACAAATTATATATATATATATATATATATATATATATATATATATATATATTCCACTTTGTCATTGATTTACCTAACACACGGACACACATTCCAAAGAATTTCGCTCAACCAAATTTACTCACAAGGTTTGAGTCAATCCGTGGTATATTTTTGAAGTATATTATTATTATTATTATTATTATTATTATTATTATTATTATTATTATTATTTTCTTGGATTTTTATTGTATACACATATCCTTCCGAACCTCAATAAGAGAGCTAAGGTCAGAAATGGCTTCATGACGTTTTCCACCGATTATATTTGTAAAACAAAATGTAGAAAAAAAAACTATGATCACAGATATTTTACATAGATAAAGCTCAACGTAATGTGTGAGCTGTACTTGTGAGTATTATTTTTTTTATATTTCTTCAAGGCATGGATTACGAGGAATCCCCTCAATTAGTCCATCGGAACCTTTTCCAATCAATCCGAGGGCTCCAACTACAACAATAGTACCTATTGATGTCCTCATGTTTCACATTTTTGAGATTTCCACTTCAAGATCTTTGTATTTTGATAGCTTTTTGAAAACCTTCAAAGACACATTACAATCTGCAGAGACTGACATGTCAATTAGAAAACACATTGTTTTTTTTTTATTTTTTATTTTTTTTTTTTTGCCTTTCATCATGATGTCTGAGCGATTAGATTTAATTGTTCTGTCTTTGTGTATTGTAAAGTCACATAAAATTGTTAAAGGTCCTACCTCTGTAACCGGGTTCATACCAGATTATTATTATTATTATTATTATACATCAACGCGCTCAAGATTATGAACATCTTTGTCGATGTCAGCTATGGCGGGGTTACATCAGGTTTTGAATTCAGAATTGTCCTTCTCCCAGAATGGTTACCATACAAACCTTACTATTTAACCCATAATTGACGGGGAGACGAGATTGGTTCATACTTTAGGGTATTTGTGCGAAAGTGAACGTTACGAACTCGAGCTGAATTTGAACTTGGCTCACCGATTCTCGCGGCTATCAATTACATCACCGACACAAACATATATGTAATCGGGGCCGGCGAGTACTACCCCTGATAGGGAGGGGGACAAACCTGATTGGGAGCCTCGTGCAGTGCTTTGTGACCCTTGCTGTCTTGTCAACATTTGCTTTTTTTCTATCTACATTACAGATTAAACTTAACTATTATTAAAGGAAGAAACATCTTCGCGGATTCTGACATCATTCTTTTTTTGTCGAAATCCGTGAATTTATTTTGTTCATGCTAAATCTTGAAAAACCCTATATAAAATTCACTATATTTTATCCATAATGTTGAATGTATTAAAATTATTAAACTTTTTAACAATAAAAATGTCAAGTTGATGTTAAAAATTGCCGTAAAACATTGTTGATTTATTTAAGATGAAATGATCTATTATGATATGTCTCTAATTTGTATTTAGATACATTGGATTTATTTTTAATTTTTCTAGTTGAATTGTTCACCAATATTGCATACGATCCATTATTGTACATAATTAGGTTAGAATAAAAATTTATATTTTATATGAATAGCAAAGCGCCTGGCCCCATCTCTACAGCGAATCATCGTCTTGTCGTTATCAATCAACCAAAAATTGAAATTGAGATGTAGTAGAGTAGGGGGTTCGTATCATAGATTCAGGGGGCCCCGTCATTATAGATTCAGAGGACACAAGACCTTTGTACCTACCTTGTATATAATATCTTATTCTGTCAATTAATGCTTTTCTTAATTTTCAATCAATGAAAAACATCTTCTTTCGTCTGAGATTCGAAAATTATTCCATCTGATTGATTGATTTGTTTTTACGGCTTATCACCCTTTTGTACGTTTCCTCAATTTTTTACGAAAAAAAAAAGGAAAATTCTAAATTTGAGGTGAAAAGTAGGTGTCTGACGGTAAAACTAATGGCTACTGATAAGCAATGGTCAGCTAGTTTTCCCATGTACTTCAAGTTCATTATAAAAGCAGCACTAAAATGTAACGGTGTTCATTGTTTTATTTTCTATGAGGTTGATGGAAATTTCGTATCACCCACAATTTTACGGAGGGCCTCTCGGCACTACTTAAATTGACATTCATAAAAAAAAATAGGAAAGAAAATTGGGGTGGAATAATTTTTGTATATTAACATTCAATAAACCTTCCACAAGCCATGACAATTGTCAACAATGAAAAATATTGATTTTTTATCATTTCCAGTTCATAATATAAATACAATATCAAATGGGTCCCTGAATTCTTATGCTATTACTAACTGCATACTATTCCGAATTAGGAAAAAGGACAGTATCTTTATTTTTTCTATAATTAATCGCATATATATATATATATATATATATATATATATATATATGAAGAAAAATATGGAAAAACAAAAATCCGAATATGCAAGTATGCTGCGTTAATGTTGTTTCAATGTCGACGTCAGACGTTTCGGTCTAGTAGTTATAATAGTTATTAAAACATAATTAAAATTAGACGATATTCAAGTCAACATGAAAACACGATAGACATAAGACTAATCAAAACAGAATAACTGAAATTTTTAAGATCAGCGTTCCGTTTCGCAATACGATCACGTCGGTGATGTTGTGAAAACGTATTCCTAAAATAGAGTATATTTTAAATGAAAAAGAATTTTATTTTAATCTAAAATGTATAAGTACGTTTGCCCAGCATTAATCTTGCCAGATTAGTCTTAAGTCTAATATATTATTGGTATAACTTTGGTGCTAAAATGATTCCTTTTCACTCTAAAATATATAACTTTTAAAAATCTCCAGTCAGATATGTTTTTTTTAAAAACTAATGTGTGTGTTAAATCTCGAGTGTGTATTTGTTTTTGTGTCTTTCCGTTAGCGTGTTGATGTATCTCCTATCTGTGAAATTTTAGCCTAATTTATTGTAAACTTTGGTGTCAGTAATTGTAGCTGCTGACTGATATCATATTTCTTCAACATTCAACTTTTCCAGTCACACTTCTCACCCCAACCCTCTAGTTGACGCTTTCATTTTCGCCGACTTGAGGTCGGGCTAAATTTAATTTGCCTTTTTTTCTATTGATACATTCTTCTAAAAAAGCTTATAGCGTACAGAATAAATTATTTAAACTGGACATTTGAAAGCAATAAGTTGAAAATAATAAAAAATGTGTTCTTTGAAAAACAGAGCACACAAGTCATTAAAAGATTATTTATAGAAATACATTGCCTCCAGCTCAGATAGTGCTAAGACCTACGCAGCTCGACTGGCTTAATTTTGTTTCATCCTTTTCTTTATTACTTACTTTTTTTTTCTTTCTTTCTTCTTTATTATGAACAATATCAGTGAAATGTATTTCGTTCGGTCAATATTTTGAATTTTCAACCCGGCTGAAGTCAGGAATGAAAACGATGCACTACAAAAGATTTTTGTTGCTTTGAAATAGATATACTTGAATGTTGACTCATTCGGACTGAGCCTGAGAAGCCCGACCGCCGGAGTTGCCACTGTTAGATAGATAGATAGATAGATAGATAGATAGATAGATAGATAGATAGATAGATAGATAGATTTCGATCTAACAGTCCCGAGCTTTTTTAGGGCGGGAGTACTCGTCTACCCCCACACATCATTTG